TAGCACTTGGTGCCACCCAAGGATGCTCATTCTATCTTTGGATATCTGAGATTATAAGGAAGTTCTCTCTGATTCTGCACAGAATTCTGTCTCTGTGAAGCCTCCATCCATTGGTCCTAGTTTTCTTGCTCCTAATTTTATAGAAAAAGCCTAACCTCTTCAATTTGGAAACACTTAAAATCATCCAGGTAAGACATAGATGAGGTGGTGGCAGTGGAGATGGAGAGAAGAGAATGTATCTTATGTTTATTCCAAAGACATTTTAGTGTCATAGTCACCTTTTATCTTTCTACAGCGTCATTTAACTTAAGTCTTGAGCTGCCATTCTATTCAGTTGTGGGAAATGTGGAGACCATAGGGACAGCATGATACAGCATAAATGATGGTTTAGGTGATGGCCCGTGAGGTCAGACTGCCGGGCTAGAATCCTGGCTGCAGTACTCTCTGGCCAAGTGAACTTGAGTAACTTAGCTACTAAAACTACAGCCACTTCCAGGGAAACTCGGTTCGGTTCAGTTATTTCATAGTCAAATTCAGAACTCCAACACTCAAATTAGGATTCTGCCCTTCCTTCTCTTTTTCCTACGGTAGGACCTACATTCTAAGAAGACCCGTATGTGTCATGGCGTCAGGAAGGAGACATCCAGTCTGTTAGCCCCCATTCCTGCCGATTTTTGCTGGGGATGTTGGCCCATGCTGCTTTTGCCACTGACATTGCTTCTGTTTCCACAGCCTCCAGCACATGGAATCCACATCACATCTGCTGATGGCGTCCCTTCTGCAGGACACCAAGGCCTTTGGGAATCCCTCCCAGGGCAGCCTCTGGGGACACAGGGAATTTTAAGATATTTTCCATGTAGCCCGAACATCTCAACCAGCCGTTGCTGCTTTTCCACTCCACCATCATGCTGCTGCAAGATTTCCCTATTAGGTGTGGCCTCTTCTGGAACGACGACTGGACGCAAACCCAGGTCCTTTGGGATTTCCCCAAATGTTTCTGGGGTTTCCGTTCTCTCTCGTCTCCAGAGGCACCAGGGTATGGCATACCTTCTCAGGGTACTTCAGCATCTCGACTGCAGATCCTTCTCCTGCCAACAGCTAACATGTCATCTCCTGTGGAACAAAAAGGGGCTTCTCCGACCTCACCTTTCATTCTCCTCAACTCTACTAAGTTGTCAGGCTTTGGCTTTTGATGGGCAAAGTAAACTTCAAAGGCATTTTTTCAAGTTTGTCTTTTTTAAAAATTCTGTCTTGTAATTAACCAAGCAAAACAGTAGAAAATCAAAACCAACCCTGGCTCCTGACTCTCCATTATGAATCACATGACCCAACTGTAGAAGTCAGTAGCCAAGAATTTGCTTCTTTGTTTTCTGCAATTAGCTCATCACTGAAGCTAAAAGCCTCAGAGATATGAGGTAAAAGAGAATTACCAAGAAGGAGAAAACATGGGTTAGAATTTTAAAAATCAGTCCCATTATAACTACACTTGATTTGGTAGTGCTTACTTTATTCCTGAATGCTGTTATTAAATTAAATTTACATCTTACATCGATGGTACAATAGAAATGAGGGGGGAAAGTAATGCAGAGGTAGTTTCTGTTCAGCTTGGTACAGGGGGTGGTGAAGAGGGTATACAGCCAGAACTCAATAACCTGGATTTAAATCCTAGGTGTCTTTGGGCAAGTTGCTAACTTCCTACACCTCAGTCCCTACATCTGTTAAATACTAATAGTAATAACAACGAACTCATATGAGGATCACACGAATGCACTCATGGAGAGCATTAGGACAATGGCACAAATTAGATAACAAGTGACATTAGTTATTATTCCGTGTGGGATGCAGAGAGAGGTATAGAGGTAAGGACAACTCTACTAATCAGATTTACAACTAACTTGCTAGTTCCTGAGGTGGAACTAGAAGCATGTTCTCCTTCCTCCAAATCATTATGCCCATCCACTGGGAACCTAGACTCAAAAGACATGGATAAAATGCCCACCCCCGCCAGGGATAGAAAGTGTCCCCAGGTCCTCACCAAAGAGGAGAAGTAGGGTTACTGTTTTCTTTCACTCCAGGCAGGGTAGAGGGTGGTGGAGAGGTCCACTGCCTGTGGATTTCTAATCTGATTGACAGAAAAGCAGCATCTGCATCTCTTAGATGAATTGTGGGGTCCCCTCTACTTACAGAGCCCCTGGGCTACTGTAACTATAGACTATAACTGACCCACAAAATCCTTTACAATATATAGCTTAAGGTCACCCACAAGTTTAAATTTACAGCCAGCACTGGTGCCTAAATCAAACTGCTGTGTTGCAATAGAGTTGTGTGGGAAAGCTTTATTTTTATGGCTTACACACTTCAGCTACTTTAGGGAACGGTCTAGGGATCAAAGGACATCTCATAACAAAGCAATATTTGCTTGGGCTTCCTAGTGGAACAGTCCTGTGGACCTTTTGTAAATAAAATGATTCACTTTATGGGCTGGAGTAGCAAGGTGGATGGTAGTGACATTTACTGAGATGGAGTACAGGGAGGGAGGTGGGAGTAGTCCAAATTGCAGTTTTGGATGTGTTACCTACAAAGTACCTATGAGAAATCCGAGTGGAGGTATTAGGTAGGTCCGGAACTCAAATGAGATATAAATATGGGAGTTCTGTTGACTTTTGTTGGGTGAAATCATAGAACAGGAAAAATGTCTCCAGGAGAGATTATAGGAGCTTTGGTCCCAAGACACCACAATATGTAAAAGTTTTGGAGAGGAGGAACCCGCAAAGAAAATGAGAAGCAGCCAGGAGAAAACCAGAGGCCAAGAAGAGAGAGTTCCAAGGAAGAGGAAGTGGCTAGTTAGGTAAAATACCGCTCAGAGAGTCAAGGGAAGTGAGGAGGAAAACGTGTCCCTAGAATCGGTCAACATGGAGGTGATTGTGAACCCTCCATGTTGAGCTGAGAGCAGGCTCAGTGGAGTGGTGAAGCAGGGTTCTGGTTCAGAGTGGGTTACAGAGTGAACAGGAGTCAGGCAGTGGACACAGTGTGTGTAGACAACTCTGTGGAGAAGCTTAGGCTGAAGGAAGACGAGAGAGAAAGAGATATGTAAGCTCTGTGAGAGTGAGGAGCACTGAGAATTCAGTAGACAGAGAGGGACAAGTATAGAGGTTGTCACATCAGGGATTCACATTGTCTTGAACATCACCCGAAATCATTCTGCTGTTTTCACGGTGCTGTTGTTGTCAGAATCCTCTACTCTCATAAAACTGGCCTTAAAAAAAGTCTTTTCTCTATTCTCTTCAGTAGTGAATTCATCACCTATCTACAGCTTCAACTAGCAATTTATGCAGCCGACTACCCACGCTAAGCCCTCTGTGCTCCAACACTTTATCTGATGATGGGCAGCTCACGTGGATTCTCACAGTGTCCCCAAAACAACATGTCCCTATAAAGAGTAGAAATTTTCTCATCTAGGTCCTCTTTGCTCCCCTATTTCCTTTAATGGGACATCCAGATACTCACACTTAAAACCATATTTTCCTTTTCTGTCATCAGGAAACCATCTCATATTCTCTGGCTCGGAGGCTTCCTCTTGGTGGTCCCCCTGCCCAGACCACTTTCTCCACCACTTCCATCTGTCAGACACCTACCCATCCTTTAAAGCTTATGACATGTGATCCAGGAAACTCTGCTGCTCTTTCCAATTAGATGGGATCTCCTAACAGTTAAGCCTTCTTGTGCACTTCTCTTCAGTTAGATTTGTTGGAGAGGTTGTCTTATCTGCCTGATTAGACTTTAAACTTACTCATTTTTGCATCCCTTGCATCACTAGATACAACAGGCACTCACCAACTTTTGTTTAACTGGCTCAAAAACAAATTAATAAATTCTTTAGATGAAATGAGTTTTTTCCAGTTGTATGCATGCAGAATAAATAATACACTGGAAACTTAAGAATGCACTCAACTGGAGTACAGAAATGAGCTCATATGAACATCAGGACGCTGCCAAAAATTGCTTTTCTTTCCTGGAACAAGTACTTATTTAACTTTTTATTATGGTATGGAATATTTCAAATATACATAAAAGTAGAAAGAATAGCATAATGAACCCCCATGAACCTATGATCCGGTTGCAACAACTCACAATATTTTCCCAATCTAATTTTGTCTGTTCATCAACCCCCTCCCATTTTTTTCCTGGAGTATTTTAAAACAAACTCCAGACATTGTATCATTTCACTTACATATACCTTGGTAAATATCTCTACCAGATGAAGTTTTGTTTTATAATTTAACCACATGTCAAACCTAATGAAATTAATGCTAATTACTTAATATGATTTAATATCTAGGTTTTGTTCATATGTCCTCAATTTGTTGCAATCATTTTATTCAGAGAATGCTTAATTTAATACTTATTGCCCATTTTAAGGCAATTTAGTGCTGGACATTAACTCTTGATTCTTTTAGCACATGTGCTGGAAGAGGTTAAGGAAAAAGGAGATACTCAATTTCTGAATTACTTAATAATTTCCTTGATTCATTTCCTTCACTCTTCAGCTACTGCTGTTTTGGATCTTTCTCATTAACATGTTTATCAAAAAATGAGAAGGAAGGGGCCCCTGGGTGGCTCAGTTGGTTGAGCGACTGCCTTCGGCTCAGGTCATGATCCTGGAGTCCCGGGATCGAGTCCCACATCGGGGTCCCTGCTCAGCAGGAAGTCTGCTTCTCCCTCTGACCCTCTTCCCTCTCGTGCTATCTCTCATTCTCTCTCTCTCGAATAAATAAATAAAATCTTTAAAAAAAATGGGAAGGAAAAGAAAATGTGGCAGAGGCTACTGTTTGTTTGTCCCCCAGTATCTTTTGTCCCCTTTCTCTAGAAGAATAGAAGTATCGCACAAGGCTAAAGATGACATTTCCTAGACTCTCTTGCTGTTAGACAGCCACAAGACCATGCAACTTTTTTTAGCAAAAGTGATGTGTGCAATTTCTGGGCCACGCCTTTAACTGGAAAGATGTGTGCTGTCTCCTCTCTGATATCCCCTTCTTAATGGCTTAAATGCAGATGTAGTGTGGTAAGCCATCTGCCACCAAGCAGATGATGAACAACCCTAGAGGATACAGAAGCAACCGGATGAAAGAGCCTGGGGCCCTAGTTGACCTCATTGGGAAGAACTGGCCTGCCAACGTGCAGACCATCAGTTTTAAACTACTGTTATTTTGGTATCAGTTACAACAGCTGTCCTGATATCTTAATTAAGTTAGAAGGTAAATCTCAACAATGTCAGTATTATAAATCAAATGAAAGTTTTCTAAAAATCTAATGAGAGTTTCTGTTCCTTACATAACAGTCAAATATTCTCTGCATATGTTTCCAATTATTACTAGTTATCATTCTGTCTGGGAGCATGATAATCAACTGACATTAGTTAACGGACTGTATACCATGACAAGCAGCAAAGTAGAAAGATTGGCTGGGTTTGGTTCTAGACAAATTTATCCTCCCTTGCTACTTCCTAGCTAAGAAGAAATTATTTAAACTATGTGACACCTCAAAGATCTGTAAAATGGGAATAACAGAGTTCCCTAGAAGATTAATTAGGGAAAATAAATAAGTTTGTGTATATCAGAGGAGTGAACACAGTACTTGGCACAGAGAGGTATCCAGAAAAGGTGAATTTCATTTCCTTTGGTTCCCTGTGTACATAAGGCCTAAGGGTCTGATGATATTTTCCAATAATCTACTATTCTATAGGCATTCAGGTCTCCAGTCCTTGTCCAAAACAGCAGAAATGAATGGACACTGAGTAGGGGCCCTGAGATTCACAATGCCAGTCTCTTTTCAAAGGCTGTGAAAGAAACCATAGAAAGCACTTATGGATGAAAACCTCCCAAGGATTATAGGCTGCTTAGAAAGAATGTTGATAAGTAGTGTATTAGTTAGGGAAATACTAGCCAATATAGCACTCTACCCTCTCATCTCAGAGGGTTTGTCTCCTTTATGTAACAGCAGGGATCTAGAGCATGAGACTCTGCTCCATCTTATTCAAGGGTCCAGACGGGCAGAGTCACCGACCAGCCTGATAACAAGGGATGGGAGGATTATGTGGGAGGTATTTACGGGCCAGGCCAGGAAGTGATTTCATAACTTCCTCTCACATTCCACTGTCCATGAGTCTTCTACTGAGACCTAACTGCAAGGGCTGCTGGCCAATATGGTTTGGTGAGTGCCCAGGAAGAAGAGAGATAAATGTGGGGATCAGCTAGCTGTATCTGTCATAAGCAGTTATCCTGAAGGAATTTACTGTTTTATTTAGCTTCGACTTGAGTATTGGGAGAATACACTTAAAACACTTGGCCAAACCCTCGATTAGCGGTGTCTCACAAAAATGCTTGTATGATACAAGAAATTAATTTAGGGATGATAATTTTTTAAAGAATTGATCAGGCAAAAATCTCCTGAACACTTCAAAGCGACTTCAGTAAATAATAATAATCATTTAAAAAAAAAAAGTTTTAATGGCAGAAAACCCAAATTATTTCAGTTAGAAAAAGACTGAAGCATTGGATCCTTTTCTTCTAGGAAAAAACAAGCACTTTTGTTTAGCGAAGGATTTGAACTTCTAAGGGATTTTCAAGAGTCATTAACTTCACGTTGTCTTTTCCTAAACAATGGTGTCCTAGTTACTGGACCAACAGCACACAGGTGGCCCAGAAACCACACACGCATTGGTCACAGCTACTGTGAGAGTCTCTCAGACACATGGCAAAACCTACCAAGAGGCTGCAGATGATTATATTTCATTATAATGATATTTCCAGAAATAAAGGGAATTACACATTAATAAAGCAATGGAACTATGTGGGTAACCATGACAACTGCTGCAAATTTAATAACATTTTATACTCCTCAAGAGTTTTTTTTTCTTTTCTTTTCTTTTTTTTTTTTTTTTTATTGCCAGAAAGATGAGAGAAATTCTGAGAAAGAGCTGAGAAGCACTATGTCTCTCATCTGTACCCTCACAGTTTCAAAGATGTCACGGGCATGCTCAGCACACGCCCCTCCTGGTTCCCACATGTGTATTTATCTTTTGAAGGATGGGCGTCCTTCAAAAGATAAATACACAAGATAAAGGTGGTTACAGCCTGGAGCCCATAGTCCAGTGTCTTTAAATGACATCTGGTCAGAGAACTGTTTCTCCAAGTCAAGTCCAATTTCATTTGCTTTCGCAAGTACATTTCTCTTTTTGAATTTTCACCAAAGCAAATGGCTCTCACGCATATCTACAGAAATTTCTGAAGCTACCTAAATATCTAAATAAAATTTTAGAACATTTTATTTTTTAAAAGATTTTATTTTTAAGTAGTTTCTACACCCAATGTGGGGCTCAAACTCAGAACCCTAAGATCAAGAGTCACATGCTCTACCAACTGAGCCTGCCAGGTGTCTCGTAGAACATTTTAAAGAAAGACATAATCTAAATTATGCAGCCTTCCAGTTAATTCAAATGAATCCAATCATCTTTTTGTTTTTGTTTTGCCTTTTTTGTGTTAACAAATGAGAAGTCACAAGTGGGAAGGATTATTTTAAAATTTCTCTTCCTCCTCCCCCAATTCAAGGAATGCACAAACAACTAACTTGTTTTTACCATTTTCCTGCATATTTTCCTATGATCTGTCCTTACCATGTACAGATTAACATTCAGATCAATATAGAAAAGGTATTCCGGATGAATGTACAGTAAGTGGCAGAAAGAAGACAAAAGGCCATTCCCGTGTAGCTGGAGAAGCTTTCTGTCCCTGCCAAGAGCAATGTCAGAAATAGTGCTTCTTTCACCAGGAGAAAAGGAGGGTCTTGAGGAGGTGAGGCCAGCAAGGGAAAATTACCTACCCCTCAAGGGCTGTTACTCCATCTGCCCTTACTTCTGGCTCAAGTGAAAGATGAAGTGGTCCGTCTTCCCTCACCTCAAAAATGGCCATATACATGGGGTTTTGTTATTGCTTTTTGCTATTTAGGCAGGCTCCTCTTTTCTCTGTGGCTTGTCGCCTTACCGTCATTGTGCTCTCTCGGTAGTGTCCTTCTCTGGTGGGACCTCCGAGTGGCTTAGGATGTTCCTTCTTCTGGAAGTGCCCTTGCCTCAGGGCTCCTCCCCCCTCTCTCCCTGGGCTAGTTTTCCGCACCCATGACCTCCTTCTCAGTCTTCTCCCTTTCGTGTGGGCACTGGCCACGGCTCTATTCCCAGCCTTCTCCTCCGTCCTAAACCCAGGCTGTCCCTGTCACTTCTTTCCCTCAACCCCGAAGCGGGAAGCCTTCTAAAATGCTGCCCTGACCCCACTTTCCCTCTGTTTAAAATCCTTCAACAACTCCCCAAAGCAGGATCACCTTCAGTCTCCTCGGCCAGGACACCAGAAGCTTCTGGCTCAGTTCTGCGTGACTGCCAAGTGCCTTCACCTCCTGGCCCCTCTTCCGTGGCGGGCTCACACTTCATGCAAGTTTGTCAAACATATGGCAGTATTTCCTGCCTCTGCTTATGCTGTTCCTCCACCTGGGCTGCCTTTCCTTCCTTTCCCCATCTCTCTAATGCGTAAATTGAATCATCTTCCTCATGCAACACTTTCCCATGCTTTATCGTTTCTGAGAGATAAAACCTAAACTAGTTTTTGGTCCATAGGGCTCTCCCAGATCTCAGCCCCTGCTTCCTTTTCTAACCACACCTCCAGGTTTGCCCCATCTTTGACTCCGCTCCCAGATAATCCAGTTGTTTTGATTATCTGCTGTTTAGAGCAGAAAGTGCTCTAAATGAGCACTTCCGTTCATGCAACATGAACGGAAGTTGTTCCCCAAATCATCACATCTGCTCTAAACTTTCAATTTCAGCTCCCCAAAAGTGGTCCCTGGAACTCTTCCCTCTTTTGCCCCTTCTTGGAGCTTTAATGGTCTCTCCCTTGACTGACATTTTGTTTCTCTAGAGGAACAAAATCAGTGCCCAGAATGGTCCCAGGTACAAGGGGGTTAAGTAAATATCTGTAGAGCAAATACCTACAAAAGGGTTAATCTCTGACTGAGACTCTTTCTCGTTCCCTGGAGAGGCCCAATAGTACTGCCCACAATGGAGCATCTTTTTTTCCAGTGTGAATGGACAGAGAGGATCCTGTTTGTCTTTCTGCTCTGGCCAGCCACAGATGTGCCTGGGGAGCCTTGGGTGCTGCTCCTGGAAGTAATAATGACCGGGAGTTGCTGGGGGTCACCTGCCAAGAGGTAGAGGGATCTAGCACATGTCCTGACCTTGCTGGGATCTGGGAGTTACTGCAGGCTGGGGGCAGGGCAAGGACTGGCCCAGAAGGATAAAGACTTTTAGGTTTCTGTCCATATATTAAACTGTATAACTTGAAATTATCCAAATAATTATGTGGATTAAAGAGATTTCTAAGTACAACCCCTCCACCAAAGTTATGATGTCTCCAAGAGACAATGCCTCATATAAAAAATAGCCATTGGCATGTGACTCTTTGAAGTCTCACGGTCAGCACAGCATGGGATGGGCAGGAAGAGAAATTCCCTCATAAATCACTCGTGAGTCTTCCCAGTCTTCTGCATTTTACTGATCATACCTGAAACAATTTATTTCTTTTATATAATCCTTTCTCTTCTCCTACTTTTTTCTTCCATCTCTTGCCCACTCACCGAGGGAAAGGTTATTTCCTTGCTTTCCCCCTAACTGCTTAAAATCCCTAACCCCCAGTTTCTACTTCTGTGCAATGGGAATAGTAATAAGGCTGTGAGGATTAAGTAGACAATATCTAGAAAGTGCTTTAACACAGCAAGAGAGAGGAGCGTGAGCCATGTTAGCTGTAATCATTGCCCTTTATATTCCATTTATGAGTGACAAACAGAAGAAAACACAATAAGTAGATCCCTATTAAGGAAAAGAAAAGTAGTAAGTCTTAGGATGCAATTAACATATAATGCCAGAGCCATCAACTTCTTCATCCTCTTTAAAATAACCAGACTTATCCTCCTGAA